TGGAAAAATATGTACATAAAAAAAAGGGTGACAGAAATGAAATGTATGATTGGGGGGATATTTTTTCCGGGGACATTTTTTCCGGGGATATTTTTTCCGAGGATATTTTTCCGGCGATATTTTTTCCGGGATTTTTTTTCCGGATATTTTTTCCGGGGATAGTTTTTCCGCCACCCATCCAAATGAGGAGCGCTCGTTCATGGCACAACGACAATGCTCAGCAGGTGACGAAGCTAGCCAACGCTGTGATTGGCTCGTCACTGACGCGAGAATTTTCAAATTGGCTGTCAATTAACACAGTTAATCAGATTGTTTGCTTAATTAGAGAGGAGCCGAACTAACATGTAACCGTCAAAAATTAATATTAGCACTCCAAAAACCATGTAAATAATTTATTTCAAATTATTTAAAAAATCTCGGTTTACAGTGCCTTAAATCAGGGCCGGGCTACTTGGGTAGGATAAAACTTGACTGAAATTGACTGCCTCCACTAAAAAAAAATGGTTATATTGATGATCGTACAAAAATTCGCATTTAACATATCAAATTTTCGATAGTCACTTTTTTTTAGTTTTATTCTTTTCATTTTCATTTTCATTAGTCACAAACAAGTTGAGTTAACCCTCGAGACTTATGGCAGCCCTTAGGAAAAGTGGTTGCTTGAATGTGATTGATAAAATTGAATGGCTATTTTAAAATTTTCTTTATCTACCAGAATATCAGAAGTAGAGTTAAATTATTCAAAAAATATTCAAAATCAACACTCAGTTTCTGATATACTGGAATGAAATGTGATATTCGAAGGGATTGTAGAGGGATATGAACAATATTCGTGCAATTTTACCTTATGACAGAAATTGGTAAAAATTTGTTAATTTTTCGTTTTCATTAATAATGGAAATAGCGAACGATAGAAGTGGAATTGCGCCTAATAAATTATCAGTATGCCAGAGATTTTTGATGAATGACAATGCTCAATTGAAATAGCGGTTTACATGATGCACTATCATATAATGAAGGTGGATTGTTGCTTAGAAATAAAAATGGTGGAATTGTACTGATAAAAATGAACTCGAACAATCTCAAATTGGAAAAAAATTGGAATTAAAACTTGCCGCGTGCATATCTGCATCAAATTTCCAGTACCAGATTCTATAATTTCATCAAAATTACAAGTTAGAAGGTACGAGTTACCACAGGAATAGAAAGAGCATTCTCTTCCTTATTTCATAAATGCAAAAATCGATTTTTCGTGTTTAAGTTTCATTAGCGAAATGAAAAATGTAATGTGAAAATCTGCAATGGAATTTTCACAAATATATTTCAACGTTGACCATGGAAAATTTTTATTTTTAACATTTAGAGTTGTAATATTTAGAAAGAAAATAATAATTGCCTAAAACCATTTCCGAAATATATTCTCCACGGTTTTCCATTGCAAGTTTCTATTTTTAGATTTTATTATATTTAAAATTTTAACCTAAAAATTTGCACCAATTTTGGCGGGTTAGCGATATTTGTTCGACTCGCACGTCACTATCCGTGGCTGTCGGGAATATCGTAACCACTGGGACTTATATGCAGGCAAGGCTTAAATAAGAGGCCCACCAAATTGTCGTTGATAGTCAACCTAGTCGCAGTCTTGAATAGAAATATTTCTTGCTCCAGATGCTGGTGCCACCACCCTGTTTTCCCTAAACGTTCTAGGGTACACCGGGAATCCCAATTTCTCCTGTAATTCTTCTCGTAGTTTCCACCAGAAACCATGAAAACTCGCACGATGTATCCTCGATGTGTGGTGAGATGTACATCAATACATTCCAAAAAATCATAAAAATAAAGAAAATAATAACCTAGAAAGCAAATAAACAAATCCGAACTCTTGCCTCGCCAATGATTGACTTCCCGTCTGGACGTCTCGTAAAACCGACGAACGGCCAAAATCAAATTACCACGTTACAGGTTATAAACTTTATTGGATTCCTAACTCGAGTTTATGACTCTGCTCCGACCTACCTGGAGGCTGCCCATGACTGGTCGATTGTATTGGGTGATGGGCCTTTATGAGCCAGGTCGTACAGGTCCGTCTCCTTCGCTGAAATCGACAGGAGTGGGGATAACACTAAAGAAAAGGAAAAGCGGAGAAGTGAGTCAAAGTGGAAAAAGGCAAATTTTTCTTGCCACGGCGTTACTTATCTAAAAAAACTGACGTTATAAGTGAAATGTGAGAAATGTGCCTGTTCAATTTCGAAGCGACGAACGAATTGCACGTCCCGTTGCCGTAGCACGATCATCGTGGGGACAGTAGTGGGGGGCTCACCATTGCAGTATTGGGGAGCGGCTCATTAAGTTTCTGCCGAAAAGTGATGTGAGAAAAATGGCCGTCGCGATAAAAAAAAATGAAATTTGAAAATCCAAACCTGGGCAAAAACATTTATGAATACGATGTCTGACATTTCGTTCAAATTCTTACGCATGTTCCGTTGACTTGAATTTGGAAGACGAAAATCGATGATTTTGCCGCCTATGCGAATTAATGAAATTCTGTTGAGGGAGATTTCTTGAACAACCGGTCCAAACTTGGCTCAGCCTAGACGTACCTTGGCTTTGGCAACCAAGCTTGGCCCATATTCCAGCCAATGATTACTGAGCCAGGCTTCAGCGAATGCTGAATTGAGCTATGGTTACCAGGCGCGGGCCAGAAATGGGCCGAGACTGGCCACCAATGGTTGGTCAGCAAGGGACGGCCAGCCTTCGCCCCAGCTTGGTGGCCAATGAGTATCCGGGATTGACAGACATTCGTGGGACGACAATTCCTGGTCCACGCTCGTCTGCCAATGCTTTAGTAAATCAGGAAGAAGGGGGCGTAAATAGAAAAACTCAAGGAGAGGGGGGGGGGGGGGATAAGGATGGATAATAACAATTGCAAGAGTAATGATTAATAATAACGGTAATGAAAACAATGACAATAATTACAACTAAGATTCAATTTGCTAATAGTAAAGATTGCTATTTTTACTTTACTAAACATTGTTATTTTTGGTTCATTGCAGATGCGTAGAGTGATGAGGTGGCGGGGGCGCATCTGAATTAATCAAATACCAAGATAATCGGTATCTAGTGAGATCGAAGTTAATAGAGATTATATTTTAAAACTTCCTGGAGTCTATATATCGGTGATTTAGGTTGATTAGTGAGAATAGCGCATTATCCTAGCGGTTAGGGCGCAGGACTACGGATTTTTTGGGTCGTCGGTTCGATCCCCGGTTAGGGCAATACTTTAAGTTACCAAATTAGCGCTTCCCGGTGGAAAATAAGTTAGGTGTGTGTAATTAGACAGTAATCATCTGCAGAAATGCTGGAATGAACATTATTTTTTCTTTTTTTATCAATTGAAATAAATAAATATGAGGCTTGGCTAAGGCCTGGCGACCAAGCTAGGCTCAAGTCTGGTGGCCAAGGAAGGCCCGCACGTTGACATCCCAGTGCTCAACCAGGTTTGAGCCAGCCTAGGATGCCAAGATCGAGGCTTGCCTAGCCGGGGTCCCCATCACCCAAGCTTGGGCCAATTGTCAATTCCTACCTGAGTAGTCAAGTTTAAAACTATCAAATCCCGCTATGACACACTCAATAACCTGAAAAATTTAACCAGGTGCAATATGATGCATTTCATTCTTTTAAATTTAACCAGTCTTACAGGAGAAGAAGTTTTATTTTTAATACTTTTTTGAACCTAAATAGAACCTTCATGTAATAGCTTGGAATTCGGCTAATTTAATAAACTAAATGTAAATTTACTATTATCCACGGAAAACAAACTGAAATAATTGTAAAAATTCAACTTCCTGAATTATTGACAGTTTTTAACTTGCTTTTTAAATCATTTATCCAATAACGAGCTTTCCGAAAAAGATATGAAAAAAAAAACATTTTCTGCATTTTTCAGAGGTTACTGTTCTCATATACAAAATGAATGTTAAATTTTTTTTTTCAATTATTCTTAATTAACAGTTTTACGACAGCCAACTTCATTTCTTGAATAAATAGTTACGCGACAACTGGAACATGGCATTGTGGAATTTGTTCCTGGCCTCTATAATTGAACAGACTTTTTGGGCATTTTATTTGTCATGTCAGCTTCCAAAATAAAAAAAACGTGGGAACAGAAGTTTCAAATTGTCAATTTTTGACTCATTTCTCCGCTTTTCGTTTTCTTCAGCGACATTTCTCCTCTTTTTCTTCCCTTCAAAGTTGCCCCCACTTCGGTGGATTTCAGCAGAGAAGAAAGGTCTTTAGGACCTGGATCGCAAAGGCTCATCACCAGATCCAATGGGCCCTCGTCCACCCTTTGTTATATACTAATAGATGTACGGAGCACGACTTGCTTTCAGAGCAGAGGTTGCCCAGCCCTGTATTAGATTATATTGAATATTTAAATAGCTACAGAAGGGTAGCGGCGAAAAAATCACTCGCAGTGTTCAGTTAGTGGCAGTAAATTCAGAGTTTTAAAAATCGATCTTTCCGTGTTTTCATTGTCTCCCAGTGTAATAACTTGTATTGTCCTTGGGCTCGACAACACGACCTCTCCGTGGCCCTGGATAACAGAGCAGAGACCAGGGTATTAACAATCATATCTGTTATACTAATTATTTCCCGATAAGAAGGTGACCAGATCCTCCATCAAGTGACAGAAATCCATCGAAATGGATATATAATATTCAGAATGGTTTGATAGACCTGAAGTGGACAATTACCCATTTTCCTCCTTTTTTTTCTAAACTTTTAGAAGGAATTACAAAACTTTAACTGAATAAGGGTGTCAAACATCCATGTAAGTGATTCCGGTTTCTTTTCGTCAAAATCGCTGCCCTGATAATCCTTATTGAATCACATTGGAGGAGAAATCTTTAAGTTAAGTGTGTATATATGTATCTGATATATACTTGACCAATTTGATATGTACTATATATTTCGCATACATATTGGTTGCCGAGCGGAAAACAATTTAATTTGCAACATTATACTTGGTTATCGTTTTTTCAGATATTGTCAAAATTATCATACCCATAAAAATTTCAACGACAAAATAAAAAAAAGAAAAACAGTTTTATGCCATCGGTGCCCGTAATCACGCGATTCTAACCTCGCTTCGCTCGGTTAAATCGCGGATTCCGGGCGCAATGACATAAAATTTTGTATGAAACGCGTGCGTAATATATTTTTCGACTCGTGGGATTGTAAAACTCGCCTTCGGCTCGTGTTACAAACCTCCCACGAGTCAAAAAATATCTTACGCACGTGTTGCATAATATACTATTTCCGTACTGTTACCTGAATGATTCTCGACTTCTGGTGACAGTGTCTTTTAAGAAACTAATTTGTTCTAGTTTATAGGCATTTTTAGGCATTCAATAGAGCGAAACCGGGGTTAATTTATCCAATATAGGCAAACTGCATATTTTTCAATCACGAATCGTTTATTCTGTAAGAGCAGCTTTCTATAAACGCATTTTATGACCGCCGAAATTGGTAATTTACGAATTCATCAGCATTACTTTCTCCCAGTGTCTATTTGCTCTCAACAAATACTCTGAGTGAATGACTCATGAGCCCACTCATAAACAGTAGAGGTAGATTAAATCAATTTCAGAGACAATTTCATATGCAAGACAATATTTATCGAGTAAAATAAGCCAATAATGAATCATATTCATCATATTTGGTAAATTCTAATCAGGTCAGTCAAACTTGATGCATCCTGTTGCGATTTAGTTTGTCATACTGAAGAAAAATCTGATCCCATTGTATTTCAGAGATCATTTAAGATACGGATTACCAGCATTAGAGTTAGTATTTTTGAGTTTTTTCATTTTAGTAAGGAAGAATGACTAATCAATCTACGGTCCTAGATTTGAAAAAAATTCAAGAGAGGCAGGGCACCGGTGAATTTCTCATTTTACGCTTGTTTAGATAACTTGAATGACATCATGAACTTTATTAATACTATTTGAATTCGATTGCAAAACAAAGACTATTTTGTGATGACAGTCGTTAGGCGAATATTTTTTGTTGTGGTATTTCTTTTCCTCTTCTCAATTTCATTCAATTTAAGCTTTCATGGTACATATCACAGGGGTAATCATGTCCATTCTGCCCTATCTTTCCCTATATCTAAGCGGTGAAAGAAATTAAATAACTAAGTTAGCAAGCGGCGGCAGCAGCCACGCGGGTGGTGTGTAACTCTCGTGGTCGTCCAAGCTAAGCCACGTTTAGTTGGGTTAATACTTGGATAGGTGTCCGTTATACCTTCTGTGTAAAGACTACCGCTGTTACGCAGGATTGTAAATAGCTACAGCCCAGGTGAAAAAAATCATGACTGACGATGGGTCCAGTCTCAGTACATCCAGGCTCGAATGTTACTATGGAACCAATCTTGGCTCAGTAGTCAAAAATTTGTTTGCCCAATACTCACCCTCAAATCAATGCTCGATTTAGTCGTGGGCGAACAATGTTAATGCCAGGCTGGTTGAAATGGTATTGGGCCAATGCTCGCCCCAATAAATAAATACATACTTAGGCCAAGACTGATTTAAACCCTGTTCTTATTTGATTTGAATTTTAGTTGATATGAATTATGGAATATATTTGAAAACTTTTGAAATCAAAATAGGTTATGACAGTATAATAATTGGATCGAACATCGATAAAACAGAGGTAAATCGCTGGGCTGTTTATGAGTGTTACCGAGAATAGAGATAGAATGAGCATATTAGAGTAGTATATACCATGACTCTTTTTTCAAAATCACATGGGTGAAGTGGCTTAACCTCAAATCTGCATACACCAACGCGTTTTACTAATAATTTTAATTTGCAATGAATGTAAATTTACGTAAAAATGCATCTTTTCGCAAAAAGAAATCACGGAAATTACAAAAAGTTAATGACTCTTGTGAATTAGTTGAGGTAACGACTGATTGTGGGGGTACGCGTGATGGTATTGTTGCAGAACATATTCTCACGAATGAACCCGATACGGTTCTAACACAGAATGAAGTTTTTGAAAGTGACAGTAAAAGTGCTAATGAAAATAATTCCGTTGGAGATAATAAACAAAGCATTACTTTAAATCAATCTGCCGATGAAGATAAGTTAAACTCTTTTGATAGTGAGTCCTGTTCTTTTGACATAAGTAGCTCTATTGCACATCGATCTAATCATGGAAGCCCTCAACCTGATGCCATTCAAGCTAATAAGTTTTTGGAAGATGGAATGAGGACGAAAATTAAAAATTGGGTTATCGATCATATTGCAAGCATGGATTTGTGCGTAGTACCAGCACTACTAAAGATTCTTCGAAGCGGAGGACACACAGATTTACCATTGACTGCAAATACACGACTTGGATTGAAGCACTCCATTCGGAGTGAAGTGCTTACAACAAAGAATGATTCCATCGGTCAGTACCTGTATCTAGGGATAAAAAATGGTTTAGAGAAACGCATCACTACTGATATCTACAAAGAAAATGAAATATGTGTCTTCTTTCATATTGATGGAATGACTCCTTACGTAAGCTCGAATGGACAGTTGTGGCCGATTTTAATGAATGTGTATCATGCGGCTTATACATGTAAGACCTTTGTAGTAACTTTATACTACGGAGATTCGAAACCAAAGTCTATAACAGATTTCATGCGTGACTCTGTTACAGAATCCAAAGAATTAATGAATAATAGTGTAATCATAAATGGGAAAAATTAGTGATTCAAAATTGATGGGCTAATTGCTGATGGTCCAGCACGTGCTTACATCAAATGCATTAAAGGACCCACAGGTTTCTATGCATGCGAGGGATGCACAGTTCCTGGAGTGACTATCAACAGAAGACGTGTATACCCAGAAATAAATTATCGGGAGCGTACTCAGACAACTTTTATTCCTGGTGAAAAGGAGCATCAACATAGTGATTGTAAATCGCCTGTGCTGGAAATACCAGGGTTCGACCCTATACGAGATGTGCACTTAGAAGTAATGCATTTGTTCCTGAATATTGTGAAGAGATTACTTTCTCAATGGATCAATCGAGACAGCAAGTACCGAATATCATTGCAGAAAGTAAAAACTTTTCAAGACCTATTGAAAGCAGTATCTCCATATGTACCACAGGAATTTCAGCGAAAACAATTCAACATTGATCAGCACTCACGTTGGAAGGCAACTCAATGTTTTTTCTTTTTATTGTACATTGGTCCAATAGTTTTAAAATTGGTTCTACCAGAAAGCGAATATGTCCATTTTCTTCATTTACACGTAGCCGCTCAAATATTATGCAGTCGTGAATTGGCTGTGATACATGTAGACTATGCAGATATGTTACTTAGAAAATTTTTCACCACTATGCCTAGTTTTTATGGGTCTGAATCGCAAATCATGCAATTTCATAGTCTAATTAACTTAGCAGACGATGTGAGATATTTTAAAAAACCATTGAGTGAATATACAGCTTTCTGGGGAGAAAATTATATAGGTAAATTTAAAAGCTTGATTACAGGACATGCTAAACCTCTGGCTCAAATAGTGAAAAAAAATTCTCCCCAGGATCAATCGGCGCAAATGAAGATAAATAAAAAATCAATTATCAGTAATTGGGTATTAGAAAATCTTCAAATGTGCACTGTGAGAGGTGAAAGAATGGTGTGCGTACGGTCAGTGAAATATAATGAAATGACACTGGGCTGTAAACCGCCTAATAATACTGTGCAGTTACACAATGGTAAAGTCTTTCAAATCAAACAAATCTTAGCAAAGGAAGTGATGAAAGGCGATATAAAAAAAGCAGAAGATATTGAAATTCAAGGTCACTACGCGCTACGTCAATGAAGTTTTTTTTCCACTCCATGTTCTTCAATTGAAATTGGTACTGTACATGTTGAATGTTTTGGTAGTGATTTGCATCATTTTTCTCTGAATTTAATAAAAAATAAGTGTGTTTTTCTGACAAGTCAAGGACACGATTATGCGTTACCAATTTTACATAATTAAATTGAAATTAAAGTGAATAATAAATATTGATTTCGAATGTTTATCCTTAAAGAGTTTAAAAAGAATTTAATCCCATATCTGTGTGTGTATGTGTAGGCGTGTGCGTCTGTGTGTGTCTGATATTTGGGTGCTAATGTGAACGCCAGAGGGGAGGAACGAAGGCGGAAGTGGGGGTACTGGCCGCTGAAAAGCAAAAAAGGAGGGGAACAGGCAGTAGTCATTTATGCTTAAACTGCCAACATATCAAGAATAGCTTCGTTGCGTTTGGTAATTTACAACAAGAAAAAAGAGTATTTTAAAAGAATAATAATTGCATCAATTATTGGGGGTAGGTATGTTTATTATTTTTTTACAATACGGGGGTCCTAAAATCGCAGATCACGTGACATGAATTTTTCAAAATGGCGGTTATTATCTAGCGTCGTCGTTGTCTTTTATGTTCCAGCAAATTGTCTAGAATTACGTGAAAAGAAGTGAAGCCCTAATCATATTCAACGGGAAGTAATAATATTCAATCTACGGTAATTCTATAATTCATCTCAACTTAATAATATGCCATTAACATTTTCATTAAAAGTAGGAATATTAGTCTACATTTTTCTGCGATTATCTGATTATTTTAGGATAATTTAATGTGGCTTTTACAAATCTAACCTGGGAGTGGGCACCAAGTCAGTGTGACTGCTGAACATGGCAGCGTCTCTGCATTATTGGCCGACTGCACTACCCAGGTAAAAGGGCACAAATGAACCCAAAATGGACCAAGCCTGGTGCAGGACTTCTCAGTCTTGCATCTTGGCTGGTTCCCAATCCTGCCCCTGGACTGCTAGAAACCAGGGAGGTCACACCGGGCTAGGGCTGGTGTACAAGTATTGGCCAAGGCTTGAACATTCAGGTTGGGACTGAGACTTAATCGCTAGCGGTTATCAGTTAGGTTAGGACTCACTATCAAAAGAGTTTAACTTATCTTCATCGGCAGATTGATTTAAAGTAATGTTTTGTTTATTATCTCCAACGGAATTATTTTCATTGGCACTTTCACTGTCACTTTCAAAAACTTCATTCTGTGTTAGAACCGTATCGGGTTCATTCATGAGAATATGTTCTGCAACAATACCATCACGCGTACCCCCGCAATCAGTCGTTACCTCAAGCAATTCACAAGAGTCATTAACTTTTTGTAATTTCCGTAATTTCTTTTTGCGAAAAGACGCATTTAACGTAAATTTACATTCATTGCAAATTAAAATTATTAGTAAAACGCGTTGGTTTATGCAGATTTGAGGTTATGCCACTTCACTCATGTGATTTTGAAGAAAGAGTCATGGTATATACTACTCTAATATGCTCATTCTATCTCTACTTTCGGTAACACTCATAAATAGCCCAGGGATTTACCTCTGTTTTATTGATGCTCGATCAAATTATTATACTGTCATAACCTATTTTGATTTCTAAAGTTTTCAAATATATTTCATAATTCATATCAACTAAAATTCAAATCAAATAAAAACAAGGTTTAAATCAGTCTTGGCCTATGGTTATGGTTATGGTTAAAAATACGGATAGGCATTTGCTGCCCTCTTGTCACCGAACCCCTACTGGGCTATTGTGGCTCCGTTGTCCTTCTGATCCCTATAATTCTAGGCCAGCTTTTCTCACCAGTTTTAGTAGATTCACGGCGTCTAGATCCGCTACATAGCTGATGCTAGGGAAGGCGGTTCCCCAGCAATTTAGCCTTGTTGTAGCCAGTGCAGGGCAGCTACAAAGTATGTGCAGGCTGTCCTCGTCTGCCTCAAGGCATAGTCTGCAGCGGGCATCGCTTTCGATACCCATGTTTTTGCAGTGTGCCTTAAACCTGCCATGTCCAGTGAGGAGCCTGATTGTGGTGCTCAGTTCCTCTTTTTTCATGTTGAGTAGTTTTCCCGCCCTTTCCTTGTTTAGGGTTGGCATGAGGGCTTTGGATTTTCTGCAGGTTGTGATCTGCTCCCATCGCCCTTGGTGTTCCTTCTGGAGTTT